TATACTGGGAAGAAAAGAGAGGAAATCGCCATTTTTCTGTAATTTGGGAAAAATCTGTAAGATATCAATAAATAAAGGGGGGGGTGGGAATTTCTAGAAAAAACAGCCGTGTGCACTAAGAGCCTCTGATATGTACTGAGTGTTGGGAAAAGAGGTAAAGGTTTCCCCAGCATCTCATGTAAGCCCACCACAATCCTAAGTGGTTACTATGTGAAGCCCTCCACCCAGGAAAAGGAGGATTTTCGCAAACTGAGGTCCCTCGATCACCTGTTTAAGGTCTCAGAGCTAAAGAGTGGCGCCGAAGGGTCTCAAAGCAGGTCTGTCCACCTCTGAAGCCTTAAGTCATGGGACTATGGTATTTCACTGAAAAAAGCCCATGAGATGGGGCCTTTGGGGAGGACATCCCACACTCAGTTACAGTTCCTCACTGTGCAACTAGCCACAAGGGTGCTGACTGAGCCAGGCAGGGGAGGGAGGCCACGGAGAGCCCTGGGCTCACCAGCACATCCTCCAACAAAAAGATCAATCCATAAAAAAACACAAAGAGTAGGTCTTGCAAAATGAGATATCAGAAGTCATGGGAGGGAAAAAAGCAGCCCCCTCCTTTTGCGTAGTGCTGCAAGGAACCCAGATGTGCGCGTTTCCAGGTTCTCTCTCACCCAGAGAGGGTGTGTGTGTGTGGGGGGGGGCAGGCAGCCCCTTCTCTCACCTGGATCCCAGCCTGCTATGTCCAACGCCTCACTCTGAAGCAGGACCACGCTGACCCCGATGCACCCCAAAGGCTCACCACTCCCTGTGGAGCCAGAGCGAGGTGGCAATTCCTCCGGTTCTGTGCTCCGCCCCCCGCCCCGGGGAGGGAGGAAGGGGGATTCTCAGGGCTGCCTCCCGAAGCCTGTCTCCAATGGTCTCAAAGCCAAAGGACACTTTAAAGATCTAAGTGATTCTGTATCCAGCGCTCAGAGCGGATTAAAGAGAGTCCTCCAAAGTCACCCAAGAGGTCGGCCTCTGGCTCCCAGCTACTTCCTCGCCCACACTCCCAAATTGAAACACACAGGTAAAGTTTTACGTGGAGTTGGCAGAATGACCCACAGCTGCTGCGACATGGGGCCGCCCTCCGTCCCCGCGACAGGGAAGCCCACGGGCTCCTGGACACGGTGACCACATGTGGATTTGAGGTGCTTTGGAGATCCCTTTGTTCTTCCCTGACAGGAAGAGCCGGGCAACGTTTGCCCTCCCGGCCCCGGTCGCCAGCTGGGCAGCCCCACTGGTTCTCTTTCATTAAATTCGGAAGGACGAGGGGACGCGGACCAGCGGCCATTACTAAAGGACTTACTGGCCGTGGCCCTTTGATCACGAGCTGGCTCTGACAGGTGTCACCTGCAGGCAACACATCAGCCTTTTAAAAGGCGGATCCCATCACATGATGGTCCAGGAAGAAGGTGAAAGAATCCTGGTTGGTCCCGTCACAGGGCAATAAATATTGCCTGGTGGACTTTGTTGTTACTGTGTTGTTGTTACTGTGCTGAGGAGAAGTCTGGCTTCCAAACGGCTAGGCGTTATTACTATGATTATCTCTCTTTAACGATTCTGATTTGGGCCCCACCCTGACTTCGTGACGTGGAGTACAGTTAGAGCTAGTCCCAACAGCGTGGGGAAGGCAATTAGAGGCAGAGGAAAAAAAAAAAGAAAAGAAAGAAAGCAAAGACAAGACAAAGCAAAGCACAGAACGGATCTGCCACCAACCTTGATTTTTCACTTCGGCAAATTCCTTGTTGTACTCTTCCAGAGTTTCCCTAAGCTTCTGGTTCTCTGTTTCAATGTCGTGCAGACGCTGCACTTTGAGCTGGAGCTGCTGCCCAAGGTCCAGAGCAGGCACGGGATCTACGGGAGAGGAAAACGCCTGTCACCCTACTCTGGCCATGGACCGGCCACGTTCATGGCCACGCGGAGGCTCGGAGCGGGCCATCTGCGGTGCCCAGGAGGTCAGCCACCCGCGGGCTCCCCTGTGCATGCCCCCGCTTGCCAGAAGCCAGGGTACCTGTGGCCTCCCTGCCCCCCACAGAGCCCCGGGCCCCACGGCTGGCTGGCTGGGGATGCTTCTCTGCGGCCTACAAAGGATGTGTATGCAGACGCACCCTCCAGGGTCACAGCCTATGGACGCGCGCGGCCCAGGAGTGGCCACGGGCGCACTGGGATTTGCCCACTGCTCTGGCATGGTGTGACACTCAAAGGATTTCTCGGTCCTCGATCAGACTGACAGGAAGGGGATACGTGAGGAGGTGGCAAGGGGAGGAACCCCGGGAAAGTCCACCAGGCTTGCAGGATGGACAGTGTGTGGCAAGGTGCCATAAGCCTCGAGTTTCCAGTAATTCTTAGGAAGCTGGAAATAACACCTGATCCTCTGACAGCGTCTCACCATCAGACACACTCTGACGGACGTTTTCTCTGAGCTTCCCCGCAATCCTAGGAAGGGGATGTGACGGTGTGTCGCGTTCCTGTCACACAAGTGGAGAATAAAGCTCGGGGGAGCACAGTGACTTGCCCAAGGTTTCCCGGCTACTTAGCGGGCCTGCCAGCTGGGGGGGCCAAGACACCCCGGATTATAGTACCGACGGCAGGAGACCGCACCTGGTCACGTGGGGTCCTGTGGCCAACTCGGTGTACCAACTGCAATCAGGCTGACTTACACAAAACTGGATTTTAACCTCAAATTTGAGACTGCAGACACAGAATTTGCAATACTGACTCTTGGCCTTTGACTTTACCGCTAATTCAGCGTGAAATGGAGAGATGTTAGATGCTCTCCGGGCGTCGATCTGCTCTTTATTTTTCCTTCTGCCGCCTGAAAGGCACTTCTGGTCCACCTGCTGGGCACCGGTGGAGCGCCTCCCCTAGAATTCTCGGGCCCCGTCGGAGTGGAATACCCCGGTCTGCTGGGCTTAGAAGAGATTACTGAAGATATTTCTGGTATGGACGCCAGCCTCACTTGTGAGGTGGCTGCAGAGATTTAGTCTCTGCTTGAGGAATGCTAAACACCAAGCCCTGTGGATCAACAAGGGTATATATTCAAGAGCTCACTTAATTTTCAAATACCAGTGTCATTAATTTTCAGACCACCCTCGGTTCCTGGAAGCAAGGGGAGATCTCCCCTCCCTTAGTGGGCCAGGCCGCCGGGAGCCAGGAACTCTGTGAGATGCCAATGTCTCTGCAGAGTTTACAGAAAGGCAGGCACTGGGAAATGTCCAGTGCCACGGCAGACCTGCACGTGGGGCTTTAACACAACACTGCCCGTCACGTGACACCCGTGGCCAGGGGGGCATTTATCCTGGGTGTATACAGTTTATGACTACATCGTTTTCTCATTTGTGGCTTTTCATTATTATTTTCATCAGCATTAAAATATTTACATTAAATTAGATTTCAAAAGCTATTTTGGGGAGACGGTTCCTTGTAACTAGGGGTAGTGATAACACCAGAGGCTGAATTCCTCCAAACGTTCCAGGTGCAGGGTTTTTGTCCTGTTTTTTTTTCATTCCACGCTTCTCCTTCCTACCTCCCCACCTCCAACCCCCACCTTTTTCACCCTTCTCCCTGTGGTCTCACGCTGGGCAACTGGCCTGAAGGACACAAACAGGATGCCCAGGGCCCCCTTCATCTAGAACTCCCATCTGAACTTGACACCAAGGTCAGGGAAGGATTGAGGAGAAGGAGAACCGCCGTACTTGGATACAATTCTATTAACGTTTGCGCACGTAGGCTTTCTGGCACAACTGCCCGTACAAATTATATTTTTACAGAGCTAAGCTAGTGTCCTGCCCTCTCCATCCCGAAAATTTCTGTCGACAACTTTTCTAGTCCATTCCTTTTAAAAGGCCAGGACCCACTGTGTCTGCTTCGAATAAAAAATAGCTTCTCTCATTTGATTCAGCCAGGAACTCAGTGACATATAAAAAATAACATGCACATTATCAAGTGAATGGGAACTAGACCTTTAGACAAAATTTCAAAGCATTACATTGTAAATGAAAATTCTGGCAATCTCATAATTATTCATTAGGCATGTATATTTAATTTAACACTATTAAAGGTTAATGCCTAAGTAGCAAAACTGGTCACAGAATAAAGAATGAATGTTCAAACATCTCTATGCATTAAACTTCAAACTTTACTGCAGTACAGTTGAATGACTAGATGCCTACAGCATTTGAATATTGTTTTGGATTATGTAAAAGGCATTGCTAAAGTACCTCTTAGGCTTAATTTTTATTACTTGTATTAAAGGAACAGCTAATTACCACATGACAATATAATGACTCTAGCATGTTTGGGCTGGAGACCAAAACAATGAATCTCGGCATGCCAAACCCCAACCTGTATGTTAATCCAGGGGAAATCATGGCTTTTTGTCTCGTTAATGATTCCCGATGCCATTAAACCCCACACAAGTATTGTTGGGTCTCACTCTGAACGTCACAAGCCTCTGACCTCAATTAGGGAACTGTCTGGGGGAGGCCAGGGGACACACCCATGAGAGGGACAGGAACACACGAAATCCTGCAAAACCGTCTGCACTGCCTCTTCCAATTCAATGGGCTCTATCGTCGGTTCCAACCACCCAACATGACAAACTTCCAAAGTGTTTTACAATCATCTTGATAGTTAATTCCTAAAATGCTCTTTGAGGCATTACATAGCTCATTATGCAACACAGGACCCAGAACATAATTACAACGAACAACAACAATACCATCACCTATATTTATCCAGCACCTTCTCTGATGTACATGTAACATGACCTCATTAATCCCAGCCGTCACAGTCAGAGGTCGGGGGAAGGGCCGCTAGCATCCCACCCAGGGACAGTGGGGAGGGGGAGGGCAGAAGTCGGAGGCAAACAGACACACACAATTCTAATTAAGATTTCTGCTTCCTGAACCAGCAGCCAACTAAATTATAATGTCTCTTCAAGTACTAATTTAACAAGTATTTCCTACGCATCTCTCTGCTCCGGGCAAGGCCTGGGTGAGGCGCTGGAATGGACATGCAGCAGAATCAGCTGGGACCAGCCTCACAGTAGAGACACATCAAGTTCACAAATGACCAAAGGGAAAGCAAGGAGGGCGACACTGAAGATGAGATGAGCGGAAGAGCACACCTGGATGGAGACAACTGGCAAAGGTAAACTCTACTAGGTTCTTGTGGGGGGGGGGCATGGCGGTGAAAAGACAAAATCATTGCTCTCAAAGGCTTGACATTCTACTGAAATGAAGGAAACTGAAAAAAAAAAAAAAAAAAAAGCAAATCTAAACAAAACAAAATACTTTCAAGTATTGCCAAACAGCAGTAAGAGAGGAAACAGGGTGTGGGAACAGGGAATGGGTCCTGGAGGCAGATGGACAGGGAGGGCCTCTTGGCAGAGGGAAGAGCAGTGCAAAGGCCCAGAGGCAGGTATGAATGTGGCATATCTGAGGCACAGAGAAAAGCCAGCAAGGCCGCAGCAGTGAAGGGAAGAGAGCCGCAAGGGACACATCGTCAGTGAGGCCTGTGCTTATGGAGCTAAAGGAGAACACGAACAAAGTTAAGGTGAGAAGTAGAAGACATAAAGAAGAATCAAACTGAATTCTGGATCTGCAAATGCCACATCCGAGGTGCCCTGCCGTGTGGTAAGTACCGTGTCAGTCTCATAAAAATACAATGTCTGAATCAAGTTTGTATTCAGCTCGACTCTTGACAGGAAAACCCACCAGAGGAGAGGACTCTTGAAAGGTGAGCTGCAGGGCCACAAGAAGAAAACTGCAGTACTCAGAACCAAAAAAAGGTCTGCTGGTTTAGTGGCAAAGTATTTCAGAGTTTTACGCTTCAAGACAAGTTACGCAATTTTCTTTTGAAAAGTTAAATGTTTCAAATTAGCTGCCCTGTTCTCTGATGGCAGATGGCTATCAGTAATATGCTGCCTGGCAGACATTTTTGAAAAAATAAATACACGGGCTACATCTTTGAAGCAGACTTGATATTTTAATACTTAGTGGGGAAAAAAACACTTCTTGAAAGAAACTCATGCTATAGTGACAGCATTTTAAAAGTAGTATTTGGAAACATTCCCATCATCATCTAAACTTATGGGCAAAGACAACGTCCTCTACAAAAATGTCTCAACTGCTAAAAACTACTGCAAAAATGCAAAGAAACAGGATAATCAGGGGAGTGGGGGGAGATAAGTTAATAAAGACAGAACTAGAAATGACAAGAGATAATGGGATTAGTTGGCAAAGACAAAAACAGCTATTATAAGCCTGCTCAAAGATTTAAAGAAAAATATGAACACAATAAGGAGAGAAATGGAAGATACAAAGAAGAATCAGATGGAATTCTAGAGCCTGAAATACAGTGTCTGAAATGAAAGAAAAAAAATTCCCTAGACTGACTTAACACCAGATTAGACACTGCAAAAGAAAAAAGATCAGTGAATTCAAAGACACAATCATAGCAAGTGTCTGAACAGTAAAAATGTTACTAAAACCTCAGCAACCTGTGGAATGGTACCGGGCGATCTAACATACCTGTCCTGGAGAGGGGCAAAGGGCATATTTGAAGAAACAGTGGTGAAATATTCCAAATTTGGTAAAGGTTACAAACCTAAAACTCTAAGAAACTCAACAAACTACAAACAGGATAAACATGGAACACCAATAAACCCCATCAAATTGCTGAAAAGAAGAATAAAAAGGCATTCTTAAAAGCCAAAGAAAAGAAGGCTCATTCTGTACAGGGGAAGAAAAATAAGACTAACTAGAGACCTCCTGTCGGAAACAAAGCAGGCCAGTCCTAAGAGAGAAAAAACAAAACCCCAAATCGCCAACATGCAGTTTTATACCCAACAAAACTATCTTTCAAAAAATGAGGTTGAGTTGTTTTTTTTTTTCCCTTCAGATGAATGAAAACTGGCAGAATTCAGTCAGCATACCTACACCATAAGAGATGTTAAAGGAAATGTTATAGACTGAAGGAAAATGTGCCAGATAGAAACCTGGATGTGTATGAAAGAATAAATAACACTGGAAATGGTAAATGTATGGGTAAAAATAAAATACTATTTTTCTCATTTTAATTTCCTTAAAAGATCACTGACTATTTAAAAGCAAAAATAATAGTGCTTGCTTCAGCAGCACATATACTAAAACTGGACCAGTATAGGGATAGCATGGCTGTGCACAAGGATGACATGCAAATTTGTGAAGCAGTCCATATTTTCTAAGGTGAAAGAAAAAAGCAAAAATAGTAACAATGTATTGTAGGGTCATAGCATATCTAGGAATAAACAAATAATGATACACAAAGGACTGGAAGGAGAAAAAAATAAGTGTATTGGAAGATTCTTACATTGTATGTGAAGTAGTATGATATTATTTGAAGGTATAGTGTAATAAATTAAAGATGCTGACTGTAAACCCTAAGTAATCGCTGAAAAAATAAGACAAAGTGTTACAGCTAATAAGATGATTGGGGAAGTAAAATAAGATCATAAAAAAATAATCAAATGAAGCAGGAAAAAAAACAAAAACAAGCAGCACAAGTAGAAAACAAACAGTAAGATGGAAGACTTAAACCCAACCTTATCTATAATTACATTAAATGTAAAAGATCTAACATTCCACTTAAAAAGAAGATTGTCAGACTGGATAATAAAGGAAGGCATAGCTGTTTACAAGAAATGCAACTTAAATATAATAACAAAAAATAGGTTAATAGTAAAAGGATAGAAAAAGATATAACATGAAAACATAATCAAAAGAAAGCTCAAGTGCCTAAATTAAAATCAGACAAAGGAAACCTTAGGATATGAAATATTATTAGGGATAAAGAAAATAACTGTATAAACTTAAAAGAACCAAATCATTGAGGTGCCTGGGTAGCTCTGTCAGTTAAGTGCCTGCCTTTGGCTCAGGTCGTGATCTCAGGGTCCTGGGATCAAGCTCTGCATGAGACCCCGCACTCAGCGGGGAGTCTGCTTCTTGCTCTCCTTCCCTTTGCCCCTGCTCCCACTTGTGCTGTCTCTGACTCTCAAATAAATAAACAAAATCTTAAAAAAAAAGAACTGAATCACTGACAAACTATAACAATACTAAAGATATATATAACCCCCCAAAAGTTTCAAAAAACATCAATCAAAAACTGAAAGAACTGAAAGGGGGAAAAAATCCACAATAATAAAGATCTCAAAACTGTTTTCACTAACAGGAAACTAAATATAAAATGGACACAAAAAACCTGAACAACACTGTCAACCAACTTGACCTGATTGTCATTTATAGAACACTTCACTGAACAACTACAGAATATGCATTCTCTTCAAGTGCACACAGACCCTCATTAGGATAGAACATATACTAGACCATAAAACAAGTCCTGATAAATTTAAAGGAACAGAAATCATACGATGCATTTCCTGCAACCACAACGGAATAAATTAATGACATAACTCCTCTACCCCTACTTTAAGAAACTTGGGGGAAAAAAAAGAGTGAATAAAACCCAAAGTAATATGTTAGTAAATAATAAGAACAGAGAGTAATAAAACTTAAACCAGAGGGGGGGAAAAGAGAAAAAGGCAAGCAAAAGCTGGTTCTTAAAAAAATAATCATTAAAATTGACAAGACTCTAGCCAGAATGATCAAGGAGAAAAAAAAGAATTCACAAATTCTAAGATCGGGAATGATAAAGGAAGTATCACTACACATCCTACAGATATTTGGAAAGATAACAAAATATTATGAACAACATTATGCCAATACACAAAAATTTACATGAAATGGATCATTCCTTGAAAAACTACCAAAACTGACCCAAGAAGAAATAAAAAATCTTGATAGTCTTATAAACGTTAAAGAAGTTAAATTTATAGTGAAAAATTTCGCACCAAAGAAAACCTCAAGCCCAGATGGCTTCACTGGTGAACTAGGGAAGTTTTAGAGAAGAATAATACCTATCTTATACCAAAATAGATATGGTGTAATATAATATTGATATTATAGATATCTTACACCAAATCTTTCAGCAAATAAAGAGGCAGCACTTCTCAACTCATTTTATAAGACCAGCACTATATTGATACCAAAACTCAATAAAGATACTAAAAGGGGGAAAGAAACACCAAACAAGCAAAAAACCACTGTCCTATATTCCTTATGAACTTAAATGTGTAAGTCCTTAATAAAATATTAGCAAACTGATTCCAGCAAATTCTAAAAAGCACAATACATCATAACCAAGTTAAGATTTATCCTAGGAATACAAGGCTGGATTAATATTACACAATCCATCAAATAATTTCACCATATTAAGAGAACAGAGGTGAAAATTGTATGATCATCTCAATAGATGCAGGAAAAAATCTGACAGAAATCAGTACCTATTCATGACAAAAACTCTTGGCAAACTATGAATAGAAGGACATTTTCTCAACCTCATAAAGAATGTCTATTAAAACCCCACAGCTAATATACTTAATGGTGAAAGACTGAATGCTTTTCCCTAAAGTTGGGACCAATGCAAGATGTCTGCTTTCTCTACTCACATTCACTGTCATACCTGAGGTCCTGGCCAGTACAAAAAAAAGAAAGAAAAAGAAATATTTGACATTACAGATTGGAAACAAATGTGGATACAGAAAACTTCAATAACTCTATCAAACAATTTAATCTAAATGGTATTTGTGAACAACCCATCCAACATCTACAAAGTACACCATCTCTTCAAGAGCATGAGAACATTCAAGATAGAATATCCTAAGGAATCTACCAAAAAACTTTTGAGAATTAGTAAGTTTGAAAAGGCCACAAATACAGTATTATTATATAAAAATTAACTGCATTTCTCTATAAAAGCAACAAATGGAAAACAAAGTTATGAAGAAAATACTATTTACTATGGCATCCAAAAACATGACCTACTTGGGGATATGCTGGACGAAATACGTGCCAGCTTGCATGCTGAAAACTATAAAATATTGCTGAGGGAAATGACAAAAGACTTAAATAAATACACCATGTTTCAATCGAAAGATTCTATAGTGTTAAATTGTCAATTTTCCTCAGATTATCAACAGAGGAATTCTAGGACACACGTTTGTAAAAAATGACAAGTTAAATCTACAATTTTATATTGAAATTCAACTAGCCAAAAACAATTCTGAAAAAGAAGACCAGCGATGCCTAGGTGGCATCTGCCTTCAGCGCAGGTCATGATCCGAGGGTCCTGGGATCAGAGTCCCACATCAGGCTCCTTGCTCAGTGGGGAGCCTGCTTCTCCCTCTACCTGCCGCTCCCCCTGCTTGTGCGCTCACGTGTGCTCTCTCCCTCTCTGACAAATAAATAAATAAGTAAATAAAATCTTTAAAAAAAAAGGCAAAAGATAAAGGACTTACATTATCTGTTTAAGACCGACTATTAAGCTACAGTAACCAAGACAGTGTGACATTAACATAAGGATCGACACACAGAATAATGAAATAAAATAGACGACCTTTGTTGTATGTGTATATTACACATATATAAAGAAGGTCTAGAAAAAATCTCACACATAACATCCATTAATTTTCAATGAAACTTGACCCTAATCTTAAACCATACATAAAAATAAACTCAAAATGTATTGTAGGCCTAGAGGTAAAAGATAAAAATTATACAACTTCACCCAAAAAACACAACAGAAAAAAATTATAACCTAGGGAATAATTTCTTAGAACACAAAAAGAACCCAAACCATAATAATTTTAATAACTTGGGCTTTATTAAAATAAAAACTTATCCTTGTATGGGGAGACAACATTTGCAATGCATATATTTGACTGACAATACCAACTGATGGAGAGGACGTGGAGCAACCGGAACTCCCACTGGTTTCTCGCTGGGGGATAAAATGCCCCAACTACTTTGAAAAAACAGCTTGGCAGTTTCTTATCAAGCTAACCACATGCCTACCCTAGATCTCAGCAATTCTAGTCTTAGGTATGTATGTATGTATGTATTTATAAGATTTTATTTATTTATGAGAGACAGAGCAAGCATGAACAGGGACAGGAGCTGAGGGAAAGGGAGCAGACTCCCTTCTGAGCAGGGAGCCCAACTCGGGGCTCGATCCCAGGACCCTGGGACAATGACCGGAGCCAAAGGCAGACGCTTAACCGACTGAGCCACCCAGGCGGCCCTAGTCCTAGGTATTTAAAACGTATGTCCACATAATAACTGTTCACAAATGCTTATAGCAGGTTAATCACAACAGCCTCACGCTGGAAACAATACAAAGGTCCATCAGCAGGGGGATGGATAAGCACATTATATTCCACATGGTGGAATACCATTCACATCGAAAAGGAAAGGACCATGATACAGATGAACGACACACACCACGCTGAGGGGAGGAGGTCAGACACATAGGAGAACATGCTAGAGTCTCCATTTATGTGAATCTAATCGAGAGTGACAGAAATCCAATCAGTGGTTGCTGGGGTCTGGGATCACCAGGGAACTTCTGAGGCGATGGAAATGTTCTATATCCTGATTGTGAGGGTGGCCACACTATCAAATTGGACACTTAAGATGGGTGCGTTTTATTGTACGCAAATCATGCCTCTATCAAGTTGACTTTAAAATAGGATTTTTTTCATGAGAGCAAGTTTTTTGTACTGCTGATAAAATATAAATTTGAAGTCGCTTTTATTCTTTTTTTCTTAAAGATTTTATTTATTTGACAGAGAGAGAGAGAGACAGCGAGAGCAGGAACACAAGCAGGGGGAGCGGGAGAGGGAGAAGCAGGCTTCCTGCGGAGCAGGGAGCCCGATGTGGGGCTCGATCCCAGGACCCTGGAATCATGACCTGAGCCGAAGGCAGACGCTTAACGACTGAGCCACCCAGGCGCCCCTGAAGTTGCTTTTATTCTTCATCACATCCTTTTAATTCCATTTTCAGCACGTGTCTTATAATGTATTTAATACATTTCTGTAATTACACAGGGCTACCCTTTAAATAGGTAAATACATAAGCATATGCTGGGGGTATGAATTCAAGATTTGGGGTACACAAACAAAAGTAGTTTGGAGACCACTGACTTAGACCCATCCAGCTGCCATGCAAAGGACGGATGGGAGAAGGGGGAGATAAGGGGGTGCCCCAGTGGGGCAAGAGGTCATGGTGGCCTGGATGAGGTTGGTGGTGGCATTTGGGAGCATAACACACATCAGAAGGCACTTAGGGAGAGAATGTAGATGCAGAAACGAAAAAGGCTAAGCAGAGTCTGGGATCTGCCGACATTCAGAGCCCAGTAAGGAGGAGGCAGCCTCAGCGATATGGGGATGGAGTACAGCAGGTGGGGGGTGGGGAGGTCAGCAGGCATAAGTGGCTCTGGGAGTTTTGCTGTCATGGGGAGTAGAGAGCTGGCCCGTGGCTGGCAGATGTCACCCTCCTCTGATCACATGTACTTCTCAGTGAGGTACGAGGTGTGCGGAGATCAGGGTGGAAAGAAGGTATGAAACAGAACATGGATGGGGAAAAGGAGGTTAAGGCTGGGGCCAGTCTATGCTCTTCACACTTGAAGCGAACTGACATCCTCCAGTCTTCCTCTCGTTCTGGATTCTCTGGGTCACCATAAAGGAAGTGCAGGCACGCTCTGATAAAACCCAACAGTCTCGGTGAGGGACGTTCTAGAAGGAGGAGGATGCCACCGGACTTCATGGAGCGCGGCAGAGGCTGGGAAGCAGGGCTTCCGACTCACTGGGGCCCAGGTGTGCTGGGGAGGGAGTGGAGAGGCTGGTGGTGAGCGGCCTCTCCGGAGACACCACGAGGACTGGAGAGAATGAGCTCGCGAAAAGCAAGCCCACGTCTGTGCAGAGAGCACTTCGGGCAGCGGGGCCGTCCCCCGCCATCGGAGGGTGAATGTGCCCCTTGTGAGTGCCATCCCTGTGATGACATCACGGCGCGGCAGACGCTACTTTGCGCCGGGGCACTCTAGGCTAATGTAATCATACGATTACATAATTAACCCAGCTGTCTCATTAAGAAAATCAACTGGAATTCAGGGCATAATTAGTCATACAGCAATTAGCATGCTGATGAGCAACTGATGAAAAGCTGTCTAGATATCAAGTGTGCCAGGACCACCCCGGTTACGGCAAAGGGGGGAAGAGGTGACACACCTCCCCACGCAAGCGAACCCAGGATCCCCAAGTCCCGGAGGGTGAGTTCCCGCACTGGGTCCAGGGACCGGGAAGGAGATTGGCAGGGAGAACCCAGAGGAGGAGAGGCAACACCCGAAAGTGGCGACCAGAGCTTAGCCGCCCATCTTGTCACGTTTGCCTTTCTTTAAAATGTAGCTAATTCCTCAGCCAGCAAACCTTCGGTGTGCAAAACGGAGAGGCTCATCGGGCCCCAAATTTGCTTGAAGCTGGGCAAGGAGGGTGGAGAAGCTACTTCCCTGTCTCGTTTACAGTGACCCCAGTGCTGGGCAGAGCATGACTGTCCCTTGGCCTCTAGTCCCCAAGCTGCTTCGGGACCAGCTCTGGCCCAGCAGAGAGACAGGAGGGCATCTGCAACCCAAAGCCTTCATAGCTCAGCCCTGGTTCCTCTTCTGTCCCATCAGGGTGCTGGTTGGTGGCTAATAATTCTTGCGTGTGAATGAAAATGTTTTATGAAGGTAAACTGAAAATGTGCAAAGGGGATCCTGAGGTTACAGAGTTCTCCCTGGAGGGGCCGGGGCACCAGCCTGGCTGCCAACACCAGGAGATCTAGAATACACGGACTGGAGTAGCCCCACAGGATCAGGCTGGAGCGGCCACATCCCTACAGTCTTAAAAAAAATGCCACCAAGGAGCGTGTCCTTTACAACCTTGGTACGAGAAGCAAGGGCTGTTTCTAACTAAATCCTCAGACTTCGTTTGTTTTTTTTCCAGGAGCCTTGCTATTGGGATCCCTGAGTCGGGGACAGGCAGGGAAGGAGGAAGAACGGACATAACAATATTTTCCAGTTTTAAGTGATGGTGTGTCCTCACTGGAAAAACAGGCATGTCAGGCACAAAGGCCCAGATGATTATTGTCTTCTTATGGAGGAGCATTAAAAAGCAGTTCTCAAAAATGATGACGTTCTACTTTATTTCTGGATCCTCAAATGCTAGGCGGCTGGTATATTTACCAGGGCAGGTTTTCCCGAATGCAAATTACAACCTCCCGGAGGAGTACCTCGGAGCAGGGGCATTTTCAAGGGAGCAGGGGCATTTTCAAGCAGGTTCTGAAAACGGAGTGGCCTCTCTTCACCTAGCTCTCCTTCAAGACTTCTGCAAACTAACACCTCGACTTACATACACCTGCAGGCCAGTTATTCCACGGAAATAAAGGGAGGGCGGGTGGTCGTGAAACATGGAGTTCTAGCAGTGTTTCATGAGTCAATGAATATTTTATATCACTGGTAATGTGCTTCCTCAGATTTAAATCTTAAAATAAACCCTTCCAGGCACTGCCTTTGTGTTTGAAGGGTTTGTGTCTGTAGGACCTAAACCACATCTTAGCAAGGAGTGAAAGATGATTCTCTCTGTTGGGGGGCTGCGGACAAAGGCTAGGCAGCGATGGAAGTTTGCAGAGAGAGGCTCTTCCGATGAATCTATACCCAAAGCAGAGAGGCTCTGTAGCCCGCCGTGCACAGGTGGGAGCCCCACCCCCACTGTGTCTTTTTCCCCTTTCTAATCTTCAAAAAATAAAACCACACCGTGACCAAGATGTTTCTGAGAAAGACACAGTTGTGTTTTACACAAATTGGTAAGTGTCTCACAAATACTCAACTGACTAGTGCTTCACAATTCTGATCTGTAATCCATTAATAAGGGCTATTCAGAAATGAAGATCATGATTATTTTCCTGATTTATGCTCCCCCCCATTGTACAAATACATGCTTATTGTAAAAAAAAAAAAATCTGAAAAGTATCAAGAAGCAAGAGCAAGTCACCCACGCAAGGTTAATTCCTGGCAGATTATGCATACCATCATAATTCTGCTCAGAATACAGTAACATTCCAGCTCTGCAAGAGCCTTTTTAAGAGGTCATTCTAGAATATTTCCAGCTATCAGAGAGGATCCCACTTTAAGAGCAGGGCCATTTATTTCTCCTTCCACTGCAGTTAGGGATGGAGGCTGCCTGTTTAGCCTGTTTAACTGTGGGGGTGTTTTCTCAAAGGCTGTGTAGTCCCCCATCAGGCAAAAAGGAACCATCCAGGGGCTGGCAAGGGCCGGCTCAATCCCATTTGTACCTTAGGTGCTCTAGGGCCTGGTACAAAACGCACTGCCAGAAAGTGCTGGCTGAGGGAATGTGTTAACAGACCTGTTAAACAGCACACCTTGAACCTTTTCTTACACACTCAGGATCACTGTTGTTGATGGATATTCACTGAACGTGGCTCTCACCCACAAATACAGGTGCCCATGCAGAAGGACACTGGCCTCCTGGGGGAACCGGTCGCAGAGGGACTCCCCCTCTGGAGGGGCCTCGCCCAGGTGTCCTTACCAAATCATGTTGTTGGCAGATGACTATGATGCTCTTGTTCATGGGGCTCATCAGCAAGTAGTAAATATAAATCTCAACCAGAGGTATATTAAAATAAAAAAACTTAAATATGTCCAAGTTGAAGCCACTCCTATAGGTTGACCATAAACATTAGGATAAAAAAATCTGTCCATGATGAAACTGACAGATGAAGCCATCTTGACTAACGTAGTAAAATCCTAACTTATTTATGAATCGAAATGTAAAACTGCTCTCCTGCCTCCATGACACTGACAATAAAGGCAAAGGCCATTTTCAATTAGAACAATGATTAGAGAAGATACAAGAAATCAGGAAGACAGGTTAATCCTCCAAACTGTCTGTTGGTCTTCCTTTTAAGATGGATTTATTTATTTTAGAAAGAGAGAGGGTAGGGGGGGCAGAGGGAGAGAGAATCTCAAGCAGACTCTCCGCTGAGCGTGGAGTCTGACGCTGATCTCACGACCCCGAGATCATGACTTGACTAAAATCAAGAGTTGGATGCTTAACCGACTGAGACACCCAGGCACCCTATTGGTGTTCCCTTTAATTAATAAACCAGAGGGAACCATGTAAGTAAGCGCTGAAGGAAGCGACGCTGCTCTCACCGTGTCCGAGCGAGGGCTGTCCCGGTCACCTTCCTCAATCATCTACCCTACCTCCTCCATGCAGCTGAAATCCATTTCCCTCTAATTTTACTCCCGCCACCCAACACTGAGTGACCTCAACTCTCCCTCCCCATGTCCCCTTGGGACATCTTTCTAATCTGTTGTCCCAACTGCAGTCAGGATGACATTTTTTTAAAAAAGATTTTATTTATTTATTTGACAGAGACAGAGCGAATGAGCATAAGCAGGGGGAGCAATGGACAGAGGGAGAGGGAGAAGCAGGCTTCCCGCTGAGCAGGGAGCCCGATGCAGGACTCGATCCCAGGACCTTGGGATCATGACCTGAGCCAAAGGCAGATGCTTAACCGACTGAGCCACCCAGGCGCCCCAGGATGACATTTTTATTATGCCCATAGGATAGTGTCATTTCCCTGCTTACAAGCCATCCCTAGTTTTTGCCTGTTAGATGAAGTCCAGAATCCTTCACATAACCTACCAGGCCCCTGCCTGCCTTTGCAGCTAGGTAACCACACGGGTGTGCGCCCCTTACTCAGGCATAACTATTAGCAGTGCCCCCTTGACAGTGTTTTGGTTTAGATGACATCATACTTGGCCCCTTTTGTCACTGCCCAGGGCGGCTGCCTGGGACCCAGCCCAGCCCTCTCTGATCTACACTCTCATGCCCAATGGGCACTGTCTCCAAAATACTTGTCATACCTACATTTTAATTACTACGTGTGTGATTACTTTTAATGCCCACATTCCCACCACCCTCTGAAGTCCATGAAAACAAGAAGCCATCTGGCTGATTCACTCCCAACTCCACCCCTGGGGCTCAGCATGGTTCTGGGGACCCAGGGAGGAGACAGCTTCTGAGGTGCTTACCAACTAACCCCAGGGAGGGAGGGGTTGCAACAGAGTGGAAAGACAGCGTGCTTTGGCCAAAGTAAGCAGTGTGTTTCCGATAAAAAGCATCTTAAAATTCTCTCACAATGGACCAGGGAGTGAAGAACAATCCGGTGGCAAATGAGGAAGAAGGTAAATATGAGGGTCTTAACTATTTTATTTTATCTGTTTGGGGGACTCATCAGGAACGAATATATATCTAAATGTTTATTCAATGTCTTTAATACGAAGGCACTTTGGCACAGAGAAATACCATTATTTGGGATTTGGGATGTGGAAGATGAACAAGAGGAAGGAGCCAGGGCTCCAAAGTTTCTTCCCCCTCCAGAGTGCTCTCCCTGGTGCCAGTGTCAATCTCGGGAGCATGGTCCAATGTGAACAATTAAATACTGCGCAACCTCAGAAAGCATGCTGAAGAAATAATGTGATCCTTTAATCTATGCATTCAACCAGTATTTACGGAGTTTCTGCTACGGGGCAGGCAGCGGGGGAGATGCTAGGAAAATGAGGAGGGACAAGATCACATTGCCCATCTCCCTGCCGGGCCAGAAGGGAAAACAGCGGAGTACCGATAGTTACAACAGAGGCAAACACAGGGTGCTGGGGGGGAGAGGGAGAGAGGGAGAGAGAGAGAGAGAGAGAGAGAGAGAAAGAGAGAGAGAGAGAGAGAGGGAGAGAGAGTGTGTGTGAAGGGTTAAGCAGACCTGGGAGGTCACGTAGGGGAGTGTGTGTGTGTGTGTGTGTGTGTGTGTGTGTGTGTGTGTGTGTGAAGGGTTAAGCAGACCTGGGAGGTCACGTAGGAGTGCCTCAAGTTCATCTGGAGGAGTAAGGTATCAGCTGAGAGGGGGCCTGGCCTGCCTGCAGGTGAAGAATAACCCATTCCTACAAGCATGGAGACTCGATTCCAGATACTGTAGATATGAGGGGGGTGGCCTGAACTATGAAGTGGAGAGCAGAAGCAGGGATGGAGAGAAGCAGATGGAATCAAGAACATTCTGGAGACAGAATGGCCAGGACGTGGTGACCCTGCGCTGTGGTGTGAGCAGCTGGGTTGGAGGTGGTGCTGCTCGCTGAGAGAGGCAATGCAAGAAGGAGCCAGTCCGCTCTGGACACACTGGGTAGTTTCGGGGGGGCCACCTGTCATCCCAGCGGGTTTGCGCAGGAGCTACTGGATATGCAAGCTGACACTCGGAGGAGTCAGTACTGAGCCGGGACGGAGTTTTAAGAGCCACTAGTGTGCCCCTTGGTGAGCTCTGCTGCTGAGGACTCCGGGGCGGCTCTGGGGTGATGCACCCCCTTGGGGCATGCAACGTATCACACCTGCGGCACACCAGGCCCTGCTCCAAGTCCTGGGCACAGGGTGATAAAGCAAAGCTGTCCTCAGGGAGCTTTCATCCCAGTAGGACCACCAGGTGAGAAACAAGACAAGATACAAAATTTCCAGATTGCGGTGGAGAGGTGGGGAGAGGGGGCACACCTGAGTGGCTCAGTCTCTGGAGCTTGCGACTCTTGGTTTCGGCTCAGGTCAGGATCTCAGGGTCATGAGATCAAGCCCCTCGTCAGGCTCCACACTCAACGTGGAGTCTGCCCGACATTCTTTCTCCCTCTTTGCTCCTCCCCCTGCTAATTCACTCTCTTTCTCTCTCAAATAAATAAATAAAATCTTTATTTAAAAAATGTATGGATGGGGGACAGTGGGGGTTGGTTCTGTCAGATTTCTGGGCCAGCCTCCTTAGTTGGTGGGGATTTGTCTCCACCTCTTCCTGGAGCCAGCTGGTCGGCTCTTACTGGGCTCCTGGAGCTGGGCCATATGACACATAGCCGAAATACCCATCCCATTATTCCCGAGAGCTGCCTTGACTTTTCTGACATAGTTTAAGTTTCTGTTTCTTACAACTAGAACTTAACACCCTCCCCAATGTTTCTGGGTTCAGTTGGATCACGGCCTGAAGCACACAGACAGTTAAGGCACCCTGACACCCTCCAACTGCCTCACTGTCAGTAAATGCAATGCTATTGACCAGGCCCTTCCTGTAAGGCTC